AGGGAGGGAACTATTACATATCCACAACTGGAGAACCCACAACAAAAAGGACTACTGTATCTTGAGTACTGGATGGATGGATGGATGGATGGATGGATGGATGGATGGATGGATGGATGGATGGATGGAAAATGGAATGTTTTCATGGATGGATGATGGACTGATAAACGGATAGCAAAGTTTTTATAAATGGATGGATAGATTGGAGCAAATATCTAAAAGGGCCTGTAAAACCTGAACTGTTCTAGTATTTTTAGGAAAGCAAACCTGTATGATGCAGCTCCTTTCTGCTCCTTCAGACTTCCAAAAGGGTTATACTTTATACTGATGAATCTGGGGCAGTTCCTACTCCTTTCCTCCCACCCTTTGCAGGAACCTCCTAGAACTTCCCTTCTGTTTTCTTTCCTTGTAGGCATTCCTTGCCCCATTATCATCGCCTGGGCCGTCTGCAAGCTTTATTATGAAAATGAGCAGTAAGTAGAAAAACAGTCCAGCCCACCCTCTGTCTTTCTGCAGGCAACAGACTTTCGCCTTTGACGAGGAGACGGTTCAGCTAAAATGAGCTTTGCATCAGGATAATGGCCCAGGCCAGAATATCCCTTTTCCAAATTGTTCACTTGGAGAGGAGAAACACTCCTGGGGTCTCTCAGGACTCAAGGGCTTCATGGATTCCTTGAGCTCCTGGGAGAAAGGTGGAATAGAAAAATATACAGTGGATTCAGATAAATCAAGCCAAGAACCCGTCAGAGGCATAATTGATTGGATTCCTCTTTCACCTTTGGCGTCTGTAGGGCTCGCCATGAGATCTAAGTAGATCTTTTGATGTCATGCCTTTTCTCTGAAAATGTTTTGCAATCAATTATCCTTGTAACACTGAGTTTCTTCCCTTGTGACATACCTTTTCTTTTATTAAGAGCTCATAAAATCCTTCTGGTTCAGGTGATTATTGCCACTGGGCCAAGGTGTCTCTAGGTTCGAACCCCTCTTTGCAGGCAGTACAAGTTGCAAGGGATTTTTTTCCCACCAGTCCATTCTGCCCTTGGTCTCTCGAACTCTGTCCCTTCACTGGCATATCCCTGTCTGTCTGAGGCTCTACCACTCAGAGTTCCTGGCCACTGCCCCACTGATGTGGCTGGAGATAAATGTGACTGGGCAGGAAAGGAAAGGCCTAGGTGGACCAACAAACAGCCTTGGAAAGTGGAAAGGTTTGCTCCCAGATCATGACTGCACTGAACCAGGAGAGCTGGAAATAGTGAGCTGAATCAGGACTCTACATAGTGGCCAAGGAATAGATGGTTTGTTCCAGCAAGATCTCTGTTTCAATCTGGGCTTTCCTTTGCAGGCTTTGTAGACATGAGTGTGTGCTTTAGTAAAGGAATAGAATTTGGGCCTCAGGGATTTCTTAGTGAGGGTCCTCTGTTGATCACCCTGCCATGTAGGTCAACTGCCTATCTTCTCAAAGAGTCCAAGGATCTCTCCATCCAAGTCCAGGAACTGTCCAGCAAGATGATGTTGCTTCAGCACTGGTTGGGTCCTGAGTAACTGTATAGACCAGTGTTTCTCAACCTCGGCAACTATAAGATGTCTGGTTGTCAACTCCCAGCATGCTGGCTGGGGAATTCTGGGAGTTGAAATTCACACATCTTAAAAGTTGCCAAGGTTGGGAAACTCTGGTATAGACACTTTTGCCACCTTCCTGTTTTCTGGATCATCTTCAGTGGAAGAGGTAGGTCTATGGGCGGTAGGATGAGATTCAAGCTGGACTTGAATCTATCTAGTTCTTCAAAACCCGTGCCATCCTTGAGCAAAGTCTCTTTCAGGATGGTTTCAGAAGAGTTATCAGCGTGCATCAGTGCGCATAGTCTCTCTTGAATCAACTCCATGACAACTTAAAGCTAACCCCCCCCTTTCTAGTTCTGAATCTAGTTCTATCACAACATTAGTGAGATAAAGCTGAACAACGGATCTTAAAGCCTCAGGGATGATAATGATGATACATCCCTCACAATTAAGTTCAGTGATTAAGGTCTCATGTTTAAAGGGATGGGTTCAAGATGAGGCTTCTTCTTTTTGTTGGACTCACGCATTGTCTCCAGTGAAAAGAAAACAGTGCCAGGTACAACGAAAACAAAGTGTTGTTCACACGTGCAATTGTCACTTAATGATGTTCTGAGCTTCACGGAAAGAAGGCCTGTAGTAAGCCATCCATGGAACATAAACACTCCATCCTGCCTCTTGAGAGCTTGCTGAGGATTAGAATGGAAAAATAAAAATTGGCATGGTGCTTTGGATTCTGTGAAGTGCCATAAAAACGGCAGTGGAGGTAGGAAGAAAACCAAAGCAGCCATCAACCGTGTCTTGCTGAAGAAAGCCGATCCATCAGTTTCTTTCGTTTGCATAATTCAGCTGAAAAGACAACTAGATCCCCAGCGTTTCAAAGGCGTAACTGTGAATCATTCCAAAAGGATACCCCACAGCATTCTTGTCTTTTGTTTGATATATGGGATTTATATTAGCTTGTGCATACATACTTACGTATATATCCATCATCCTCTCTCGTCAGGGTGAGCAGCATTATGCAGAACGTAAAAAAGGAGAAAGAAGTAGTAAGTCAAAGAAATTAGAGGCAGGAAATAAGAGAGAAGACAAATTAACTAAATCTAGTCTAAACTCAACCATTCCCTAGGCTTCTCCATACCTTTCTATGCTCACCAGATATCCTTGTTATTTCCATACTCATTCCCTGCTTCGTAGGTTTTTCTCTTTCATGATCTCATCAACTCCATCCAACCACAGCTTTCTCAATCTTGCCCTCCGTCTCAACTCATCCCCTCTTCTTTTGTAAATTTGTTTTGCAATTTCACTGTCGTTCATTCTCTATTACCTTAATACATGGTTCTGTTTGCAGATGCTGGTTTGGAAAGGAACCGGGGAAATATATAGATTACATCTATCAAGGACCAGTGATTCTTGTTCTGCTGGTAAGAAGACCTTTTGCTTTGAGATTTTAATTAAGCCGTGCGGGATTTACCCAATATGAAGTTCTTATTTGAAGCTGATTTGATTTGCTCAGTGATGCCTTAGCAATTCGGCATTCTGGATAAGGCTGCACCAAATCTGGACCGCAGCATCTGTGAGAGTTGTTCCTCTGGGTGAAAGAAGCAGGTTGTCCTTTTGGCCTCCTTCAAGGAAGAACCAAAGTCCATAAGGAATTCAGGGGAGGGGGATCATCTTACCTTTCCGTTGGCTGGTGGGTCTCTCTCTTCCTCTCTTCTCTATTACACAAAATCAGCCATTGCACCCAGAACAGCACCATTTTCCATCCTCCTTGGATGATCACATTACAATACAACGTTGCACAGTCAAGTGGTCAGTGAAGGAATAAGAAATAAGAAGAAGACGTGACGTAGGGACAGTAGACCCATGTGCCACCCAGAAGGTAAGGTGGCCACGCTGTCCCACCCACATGCTTCTTGAAATTTGACACCCACACCCTATGTGAACATTGTGCTTCAGAGTCTCCCTTTCCTTCCCAGTCATTCTGCATGAAGAACCTGCTGCCACTTTTAGCTCATTTTTCCTTCTTATAGGTGGCTGACTTAGTATTTATTAAATTATAAGGAGATATATGCACATACCCCTACATACACATCACATATAGTAGCATATATGGATATAGTGGCGTGCATATGTGTGTGGACGGATGGATGGATGATATTTATTTATCATCTATGTAACTGAGATAGATAGATAGATAGATAGATAGATAGATAGATAGATAGATAGATAG